ACAGTCAACAGTTAGTGACTGTTCCTATTCCCCATCCTCTGACTTCTCATTTCCAGTCTCAGTGAGCGTCTCCTCTCATCCCTCTTTAACCAGGTTTCTGCTCTCTGCCAAACTCTTAGAGCACTGAAGTTTTCATTCATAGCCGTGATTGCACTCTGTGGTTATAATAAGCGATCCTTTTATTACTAGGGAGCAGCGGGTCCTCCAAGGTCCCAGCACAGCAGCTGGCACACACTAAGTCATAACATCTTTTAATGGACGCTTGACTGACTTGAAGTGGAGCCGATGGATGCTGATCATTCAACAAGGCTGCGCCTCGGCGTACAATACTAACCAAACAAGCACAAGGCTGTGGGTTCAATTCCCACAAGAGGAAGGAGGAGGAGGAGAAAATTCAGCTCTAGCTCTAGGTGTGACAGGGCAACAAAGACCTTCCTTGAGTCATGGTTAACCTAAGCAGGAAACCTGAATTCTTTAGCAGCTCAGCACGTGTGGTGGATATCATTCATTCACCCCTGCAGCTCACAGGGAAAGGAAGCAGAGGTTCTCTTTGTCATTGACTGTACTGATTCATTACAGTGCGGAACAGCAAGTTTCCAAAGCAACCCAGCCGCAGAGTGGAGCGATCTCAGCATCCCCATCACTGAGCATGCTTCCCTCCAACTGGGAAACGGTTAAAGAGGGAGTGTGCTAAAATAATGGCTGCCGTGGACCGGGTGCTTACTAACGGTGCACTGCTGGTCTAGTACTTCACCTGCAATAATCCACTTGATCCTCCCATCTTACAGGTGAGGAAACTCAGTGGCCAAGAAGGTTAGGTTCATATCTGAGGTCATACAACAAAACTAGGTCTAGTTGTTTATTTAGAGGCCGAGTCTCACTCTGCAGTCCAGGCTGGTTTTGTCACCTTCAGCCTACTGAGTGCTAGGATTACGCACGTGAACCACCACTCACAGCTCCTAACGAGATGCTGATCTCAGGGAGTCCATCTCCAAAGCTGGTGCTGCCCTCCCTCGCCCCTCTGGCACCAGGGATTGAATCAAGGCCTTGCACATGCCAGGCAAGTGATCTACCACTGAGCTACCCAGACCCAAAATCAAACTTTTAATTATTCTGCCATACTCTTTCTCTGAACAGACTTAGGAATCAGAAGCCAAGGAGTCTCTGCCATAAGCTAGTTCTGTTAGTCTGGACCTCGGCTTCAGGCGTCTGAATATCATTTTGCTCATCAATAAAGTAAGAATGAAAATTAGAAGGCTTACAAGGCGTTTTGAAAGATTATGCGATGCTGAAAAATGGGAAATTAATCTACAAAAGCTATTATTTAAGTCAATTCCAGGACCTAATAACACCCTTTCCTCCTAATGGCTACAATCTAACAGGCTGTCTCTGAGACCCTCAGTTCCCAGAATCATGAGCCACAGCAATGAGTGGTTTCCAGCTTGTTTGATGGTCAGCTGATTCCCACCTCACCCCCAGTTTTAATGTCCCTGGCCAAGTTTCCACAATGACCATTATGTACCCCTTGGCTTCTTTCTTCTTGGACATCCTGAATATTCCAACTCTGGGGACAGGAGAAGCATGTGATTCCACTGCCTGAAGGAGTGATATGGGTTTTTTTTGTTTGTTTGTTTGTTTTTTTTGTCTGTAATGCTGGCTGGCCTGGGACTCTCAGGGACTTGCCTGCCTCTGCCTCCGGAATGTTGAGATCGAAAGTACAGCACACCCAACACAAGTGACTGGTTTTTGTTTTGTTTTGTTTTGTTTTGATCGTAAATACCCTTAATTACATCTTACGGAAGGCTAAATTTTGGTTTAATGGCAGAATCTCAGATTTGATAATCAGTCTTTAACAAAACACCCCTTCCCCTCCCCAACCTACTTTATGCATGAGGAAAACCAAGGCCAGATAGAGGAAACAGTACAACTGTTTAGCAGTGGTGTCAAGATTTTGTTTTACCTTGCAGGTTTTTTAAAGTACATTTAACACAGTGATTTCACTTTGGGAAAATCATACCTGGAAAGTTGCTTGATTACATGGAGCTGCTTCAGTTATGCAAACCTTTTTTTTTTTAAAAAAGCAAAATGCTAAAATTTGGTTAATGATAAAATCATTTAAAACCTTAAGCCTAATAAGTCACTGAAAGAGCATTCTTTTTGTTGTCCTTACTTGCCCATTTCAGATATTCCTGGAATATGAAGGGGCCTCTCTTTTCTCGGGAGTATAAGGCTCTCTACAAAATCCATCTTGTTTCCCCCCTCCCCCTGGTTCCTCCCTGAGCTTAGTTAGCTCTCCAATCTGGAAGAACAGTACTTTCAGAGCTGGAGTGGGGGTGGGAGTGTCACATGACATAACGCACTTTTAGCACCCACTGCTAGCACCCACTCTGTGCATTTGCTCTGATTTGGGCATATTTCCTTCCTCTCCTAAGCAGATAGCAGCTCACCTTGGTTAATGCCACTAAACTGTAGACCACTCAGCTGCTAATAACCCAAGAAAAAACAGCCGTGCCAGGCCTAGAAATGTCCATCCCTGCCCCCAACCCCCTTAAGACAGTGACTAGGCCAGAATTCTCCTGGTTGATAAATGAGAGGAGCTGAGGAGCCGCTGTGATGTCGGTTCCGAAAATCTGATTTGTAAGAAGGCGAATCTCCAGGAGCACCATGGAGATGCTTTTGGAAAGCGGGCCAGCCTACCTGCCGGAAGGAGGGCGAGAGAAAGGGGGCCAGGCAAAGAGAAATGCTTAAGAGAGATGGCCTGGAGGTGCCCAAAAAGGGACATTTGAAAAGGAAACGGAGGCCGCATCTCGGGGAAACCTCGGAGGTAAGTGGCATTAAAAAGGGTTGCGCATCCCGGGAAGGGCGCGACAGAGACAAAGGTGGAATGTCCGAACTCTGAAGAATGAGCCCCGTTAACTGTGGGTGGTACCCAGACGCCCAAGGGGTGTCACGGAGCTGGCGAGGACCGGAAGGTGGGGGTCAAGCTGAGCATCCACGCGGAAGACGGTGGGGGGTCGGGGGCTGGCGAAGGAGCGGCCGCCCTGAATTTGCTCCGGGGAAGGTCAGCGACCACCGGCCGGGGAACTGCAGGAACCCGGAGGGGCCGCGGTTGCCATGGCGCCGGGCGGGGAGGGGGTGACTCGCGCCCCGCCCCAAGCCCCGCGGGGCCCGAGCTCCAGATGGTCCCGGGCCTCCCGCGGGAGCCGGCGGCCTGCGGCTGGGGG